GAGGAGGAGGAGGAGGAGGAGGAGGCGGAGGAGCCGCGCACGGCCCCACCGCGGGCGGCCTGCGTGCCGAGCGCAGCCCAGCACGGCACCGCAGGAGGCCCTCCCCCAAAAAGGCTCACAGCATGGCAGGCCTGCGCCGCGCCGGCGCGGCGGCACGCGCCGCGTCGGACGTGCCGCGACCCTTCCAGACCGAACGCGTCACACGGGGCCCAGACATATACACCTCCCCACCTCCCTCCCTCCCTCCCTCCCTCTCCTCCCTGCCTCTCCTCCTCCTCCTCCTCTCCTCCTCATTCTCACTCTCACTTCCTCCTTCCCCCCTCCTCCTCCTCCTCCTCCTCCTCCTCCTCCTCCTCCTCCTCCTCCTCCTCCTCCTCCTCCTCCTCCTCCCCCCCCTCCCTCCCCCAGGAGAGAGGGGAGGAAGGAGGGAGGAGGAGGAGTCGACGTGGCGGAGGTGCATATTCTTGGGGCCCGCTGGTCAGAAGCCCGCGCCGGCGTCCTCGCGGCGCGAACCTGTCGCACCGCCGACCACCGGAGAACCCAGTGCGCTTCGTTGCGATGTCCGTCGACGGGCCCGCCAGGAGCCGCCCGCGGGCCCCGAGGAGTGCGGCGCGCGAGTCGATGTAGCGTTGGCCAGGGTCGAATCGCAAGAGCCGACAAGATGGTGTGGGAGGCACCCATGAGCAAGGGCTCCCTCGAGGGCGCGAAGTTATTCGCGCTTCGCGCTTCGCGGTCCTCGTTCCTCCTCCCCCTCCTCCTCGTCCTCCTCTTCTCCCCCTTGGGGGGCGGCGCGAGAGCGCGAAGTTATTCGCGCTTCGCGCTTCGCGCAGCGCGAAGCGCGAACTTAGGAGCCCTTGCATGAGTTGCCACAGAACCTTCCGCGCGCGGTCCAGCGGTCACTCCAGCCTCCTGCCGATCGCAGGGTCGACTCGGCGTCTCCCCAGCATACGAATACATCGCCGTGACGAAAGTGTCTTTCAATTCGCCTTTTGGAAGGACGCGCTCGTGCGGAGTAGTTCGGAGTAGTTTTACTAGAGCTACTCCGCGAGCAATCGCATCCCGCTCGATAACGTATATGGTTTGGCGCGGAGTAGTTTCCGATCCTGTTTGGGGGTAATAGAGTTATTAACGTCTCCGGGATCGGAAACTACTCCGCCGAATGATCCCAGCATCATGTCATGTTAGGAATTTTGCGAGGGATGGGAGAAATCTTCATCATAGCAAATTGAAGAAACTTTTGTCACGGCTGTGTAGTGTGTGTGTGTGTGTTTGTGTGTGTGTGTGTGTGTGTGTGTGCGTGCGTCGCCGCCCCAGGGGCGACGCGCGCACCGAGAAGTCTTATAGTGTCTGCGGCGTGGCGGACACTTCCTGGCCACACCGCTCGGGAAACGATCTCCTACAAGATGGGTGTACTATGTGTTCGGGTCGGGCGCGCGCCTCCACTGAGGACACACAGTCCTGGGATGCCCTTGTGCTTCCGCCTTGGCGGCCCTTGGAGGCTCTCGGTGCTGTTCGGGAGGGTTTTCGGGGCGTCTGGGGGAGTCTTTGGTCGGTCCCGGGCTGCCCTTGGCCGAGGAAGCGCAAGCAGGGACTCGGGCGCGTGGATTAGCGACGGGTCCCGTTTCCGCCCCGAATCGGGCGGCAGTGACCTTTCGCGTTTCGGGGCTGCCTTCCCCGATCCGTGGATCTGGCGCCCACGCGCCAGGTCCACTGATCCGTAATCCATGTGAGCCCGGCTTAGAATTGCATCGGGGCCGCCTTGGAGGTCAACTCAAAGTCTCCGGGGCAGTCCTGAAGCCGTCCTCGGGGCCATTTTTGGGGGGGGCACCTCGGGCCGTCGTGGGGTGTTCCCGCGGGCAGTCAGAGCCCCTTAACCGTGGGGCCATCTTGAGCCGAGACGTGGGGGATGCCCAAGCTCCGCCAACGCCCGATCAACTTGGGCGACTCGCCGCGGAGCCATCTTGAGCCTCTGCTGTCCCCTTGGGCCCATTTGGGCGACACCTCGGGGCTTCTGGAGGTAATCTTAAGTCGGGCATGTCCCTCTACAGGAGGAACATTCAAAAATAGTGAAACAATAATATGGGATGCTTTTTCGACTGTGTTCAACTATGTTTGAGATTTTTGTGCGTATTTCTTTGTTCCTCCTGAATCCGCCTGTAGGAGGACATGCCCGACCTAAAGCTACCTTTGATCATCTTGCGCCCTTTTGGAGGCCATTTAAGACCATCCTGAGCCATGCAGCGGAAGCCCATGCCAAGAAACACCTTGCTTGCCTCCAGGGTGCCCTGGGTTTCTCGGTTTTCGACGGTGTCGCCATGGATGGCGTGACGCTCCCACACCAAGAGTCCAAGGACGTCCTGGGGCCTCAGGGTTGGGCTTCTTGTGGAAGGCTTCTTGTGGTCGAGCTCCTACAGTGCCGTTTTTAGTACGTGCTCCGCGTGCGGATCATGTATTGAACATGCAGGGATTCTGCATTAAAAACAACGATGAGCTCATGCCTAGATTCATTCATAAACTAATCCTGTATTAAAAATCCTACATTTTCCCATGTATTAAGAAACTGCCCTGTACTGCGATGGGGGCTCCTCGGACCCCGCGGGGCATCCCCGGAGAGCCTGCGGGGGCGCGGAAGCTGCGCCGACGAGCGTGCCCTCCCCCCGATGGGGGAAGGGGCTGCCCCAGACATCCGGTCGAGGGAAACAAGTAAGCAACCTCACCCCCCCTCCTCCTCCTCCTCCTCCTCCTCCTCCTCCTCCTCCTCCTCCTCCTCTTCCTACCCTCCTCCTCCCCCTCCTTCCCCCCCTCCTCTTTTGTTTCTCGTCGGTCCCCTCCTGCTTCCTCCTCCCCCGCAATTCGAAGTTGACAGGTTTTTGCAAGACCGCTCGGAGGCCCCAAATCGGAAGATCCGAAGCCAACACTGCACTTGGGGGGAGGGGGGGGAGGTTCAAACCACATGTTCTGCAGGAGTGCTGCTTCATTGTGTCCGACGCCCGTCCCACAGACCCCTGCCGCTCCCCGGCACGCGTGGGCCCAGCGGACTCGTACGTGTCGCTGCTGGCGGGCACCTCCGTCATGGTGGCGATGTGCCTCATCTCGAGGAAGGAAAGCGGCACGAACGTTGTTGTAACCTCTCGAGGGTCCGCGCGGACCTCCTGGAGCGGTGCCGGGCGCCCCTGGCGGCGTCTCCGGCGCCCTCCCTGGCCCGCTCCGCGCGCCAGGGGGGGGGGGGGCCTGGCGCAGATCCAAGAACTCCGCGCGGACCTCCGGAGGTTCCTGTCTGTGCAGCTTTCTGTTCCTCTGTCGTCGTGGCGTTCGGTGCCAGCTTGCCCGAGTGGGCCGAGGGGTCCGAGATCCTCGTGAGCGGCAGGGGGCTCTCGAGGGGCTTCAGCCTCAACCTGTTCTGCATCGCCGCGCACTGCATCATCCCGACCACGTACGCGAGCATGGGGAGCAAGGACAACGTCGTGAGGTCCTACTGCTGGGGCGTCGCCGTGTGGCTCTTCTGTGCGCTTGCCTTTGGCGTCTCCGGCTACTACATCTTCGGGGAGAGCTCGCAGGTGCTTGCCATAGAGAACTTGGGCAGGGACATCGACATGAACCCATACCCCGTTTCGTCCGCGGTGCGGCTGGCCTTCCCGGTGATGATGATCCTCCTCTCCTTCTTCTCTCCTCGTCCTCCTCCTCCTCCCTCTTCTCCTTCCTCTCTCCTCCTCCTCCCCCTCCTCCTCCTCTCCTCTCCTCCTCCTCCTCTCTCCCTCCCCCTCTCCTCCCTCCCTCCCCCTCCTCCTCCCCTCCTCCTCCTTCCTCCCCTCCCTCCTCCTCCTCCCTCCTCTCCTCCTCCTCCTCCTCTCCTCTCCTCCTCCTCCTCCTCTCACTCCCCTCCTCCTCCTCCTCCTCCTCCTCCTCCTCCTCCTCATCCTCCTCCCTCCCCCACTCCTCCTCCTCTCCTCCTCCTCCTCCCTCCTCCTCCTCCTCCTCCTCCTCCTCCTCCTCCTCCCTCCTCCTCCTCCTCCCCTTCCCCTCCTCCTCCTCCTTCTCCTCTCCTCCTCATCCTACCTCCTCCTCCTCCTCCTCCTCCCTCCTCCTCCTCCTCTCCTCCTCCTCCTCCTCCTCCTCCTCCTCATCCTCCTCTCTCCTCCTCCTCCTCCTCCCCCTCCCCCCTCCTCCTCCTCCTCCTCCTCCTCCTCCTCCTCCTCCTCCTCCTCCTCCTCCTCCTTCTCCTTCTCCTCCCTCGGTGATGATGCTCCTGAAGTGCCAGCTGTGCCTCGTGCCCGTGGGCCGGCCCGTCGCCTGCCTGCTCAACGGGCTCGTGGGCGCCTCGGCGGACGTGTGCGCGGGCGGCTGGGAGGGCTTCCGCGCCGGGGTGCCGGGGACGCTGTGCCTGCTGCCCGCCGCCGTGGCCTTCATGACGGCCATGGACTTCTCGGGGGCGGCCGCGAGGGAGGTGGTGACTTTGGGTTGTGGAGGTCGATTGATGGAGAGGAAGCATGCTGCCAAATAATCTTCAGATGTCTAAAACATGTCTTAATTTATCCCAGTGCAACCCTACCTTGGAGTTGGAGCGTCTAGGAAAGCAACATCTACATCTACACCGACAACTACATTAACATCTGCACCTGCATCTACATCTACATCAACATCAACAGCGAGACTCACATCTACATTTACATCTACACCTACATATACACCTACATCTACATCTACATATACATCTACATCTACATATACACCTACATCCACATCTACACCTACATCTACATCTACATCTGCATCTACACTTTCGCATTGGTTTTACTTTTGCTGTGCATTGCCTTGCCTTTGCTTGCTATGCTAGGCTATGCTATGATATGCTATGCTGCGCTATCCTATGCTATGATATGATATGCTATGCTGCGCTATGCTATGCTATGCTAGTCTGTGCTAGTCTATGCTATGCCATGCTATGCTGCGCTATGCTATGCTATGTTATGCTTTACTGTGCTATGCTATGCTTTGCTATACTATGCTGCGCTGTGCTATGCGAAGCTAAGCTATGCAATGCTATGCTGCGCTATGCTATGCTATGTTATGCTATACTATGCAATGCAATGCTATGCTATGCTATGCTGCGCGATGCTATGCTGCGCTATGTTATGCTATGCTATGCTATGATGTTGTACGCTAGTGCTGCGCTAAGCTAAGCTAAGCTCAGCTAAGCTAGGCTAGGCTAGGCTAGGGTAAGCTAAGCTAAGCTAAGCTGAGCTAGCTAAGCTAGGCTAGGCTAAGGTAAGCTAAACTAAACTAAGCTAAGTTAAGCTAGGCTAAGCTAAGATGAGATAAGCAACGCTAAGCTAAGGGGACGTAACTGGGGGAGCCGCGGGGCGGATACTGGGGGAACCGCCCGAGGCGCTTTCCACTGCCCGGCCCCTTTAAGAAAGGGAGTAAGACCCTTCTAGGCAGAGCCTAGGTAGGGAACATGTTTTAAACATGTAGAACACATGTTCAAAACATGTTTAGAACATTTGTCCGACATTTTGAACACATTGGAAGTTCAATGGTGGGACTGTTCGAGTGTCCATTGTCATGGCATCCACAAGGCAAGGGGGGGTTGGATAGATGTCATGGCGAGGGCCACGACAGTTCTCCAGATTCCATGGCGACTCCTCTCGTTTTGAGACGCCCTGGGCCTCCTCTCCGGGACCGCGCACGTGCCGGCGGCTATGCCTTGCCCCCCCCCCCTCTTGGGAATGCCCCCCCCCCCCCCCCATTCAAGGGGGAAAGAAACACACAGACACAATTAGTCGTCGATTCCCCCGAAAACATGAGAATATTGTTGACGCTTCGCGTATCCCCACCAGCCCATCCAGAAACGATGCTCAGGGGAGTTGAGGTGATCAGGGAAGTCGGGGAGCATGCAGAATAACAAAGGGCGGGGGAAGCTGTCACAGACCCCGAGAGGGGGAGGATGGAAGAGGAGTCGTCGTCGTCGTCGTCGTCGTCGTCGGAGGAGGAGGAGGAGGGGGAAAAGGAGGAGGAGGAGGAGGAGGAGGAGGACGGAGAAGGAGGAAGAATCGGAGGAGGAGGAGGAGGAGGGGAAGGAGCTTCTTGGGGGTCTTTTGAGGGCCTCTTGGAGGGCTTTTTGGGCGCCTTGGGGCATCTTGGGCGCCTCTTGGGACCCTCTTGAGGCGCTCTGGGGAGCCTTCGGGGCGCTTTTGGGGCCATCTTGGAGGGAGTCGATCAAACAAGAGGGGGGGTTTAATTAGCGTCCCCCCTCGGAAGCCCCTAAAATCGCCTCTTGGACCCCTCTTGGAACGCTCTTGGAGTGCTCTTGGGCGCTCTTGGGGCCGTCTTGGGGCTCTTTTGGGGCTCTCTTGGGGCCCTCTTGGGCCATCTTGGAGCCATCTCCAGGCCTCGGATAGCCATCGGAAGCGAAAAGGCGAGAAAGCAAAAATCATTGATTTTCCTTAGGTTTTGGGACGATTTTGGCCTCTTCGGGGCCTCCTTGGGGAGCTGTTTGGCCACTTGGAGTTATCTTGGGGCCGTCTTTGGGCTTCTTGGAACCATCTTAGGAGCCATCGTGAGCGATCTTGCGCTATCTTGAGCCATCTTGGAGCTCATCTTGGGTTCTCTGAGGCGCTCTTGGAGCCGTCTTGGGCCATCTTGGACGCTCTAACTACCCGCGGCCCCCCCCGTCCAGGTCCAGGGGAGGGGGTAGGGGGAGGGGTAAACCCCTCCCCAAGGGGGAAGAGGGAGGGGTGGAAGAGGATCTGCTCTAGACCACCTACGCCCAGAGGGCTGGTGGGATATGGGAAGTGGGGGGGGGGAGACGAAAACCCAGAAAACATGGGAAAACTTTGGGGAATCTTTTTATTTGTGTGTATTTATTTGTGTGTCCCAGGGCCCCTTCACCCTTGGCCGCCCCCGAACTTCGTGGACGGCTTCACCGGAAGCGTGGTAATGTCGATGAACGCGCTCATCTTCCCTGGCCTGGCCTACCTCAGGATCTGCAAGCCTGCCGGTTACGCGCGGCTCGGCTCGCAGGCCGTTGTTGCCTTTGGCGTTCTCTTCAGCATCGTCATGGGTACGGATTTCTTGGCCACCTACTGCATAGCCAAAGCGGATGCGACTGGCACAAGCACGCTCTGGATCATGCACAGATTTGGGGGTATCTTTATCTGATACGCTCAACGTATTGGCACGGTTGTGCGGTAGCCACTGGGTAGCTGCGTCGGCACAAATCAATATATGGTGTCATCGGACGACCCATTGAATTCGGCGTGGGATCGTCATTATGCCATGTAGGCTCTGAGAATCCCACCAGCCCTCTGGGCGTAGGTGGTCTAGAGCAGATCCTCTTCCACCCCTCCCTCTTCCCCCTTGGGGAGGGGTTTACCCCTCCCCCTACCCCCTCCCCTGGACCTGGACGGGGGGGGCCGCGGGTAGTTAGAGCGTCCAAGATGGCCCAAGACGGCTCCAAGAGCGCCTCAGAGAACCCAAGATGAGCTCCAAGATGGCTCAAGATAGCGCAAGATCGCTCACGATGGCTCCTAAGATGGTTCCAAGAAGCCCAAAGACGGCCCCAAGATAACTCCAAGTGGCCAAACAGCTCCCCAAGGAGGCCCCGAAGAGGCCAAAATCGTCCCAAAACCTAAGGAAAATCAATGATTTTTGCTTTCTCGCCTTTTCGCTTCCGATGGCCATCCGAGGCCTGGAGATGGCTCCAAGATGGCCCAAGAGGGCCCCAAGAGAGCCCCAAAAGAGCCCCAAGACGGCCCCAAGAGCGCCCAAGAGCACTCCAAGAGCGTTCCAAGAGGGGTCCAAGAGGCGATTTTAGGGGCTTCCGAGGGGGGGCGCTAATTAAACCCCCCCTCTTGTTTGATCGACTCCCTCCAAGATGGCCCCAAAAGCGCCCCGAAGGCTCCCCAGAGCGCCTCAAGAGGGTCCCAAGAGGCGCCCAAGATGCCCCAAGGCGCCCAAAAAGCCCTCCAAGAGGCCCTCAAAAGACCCCCAAGAAGCTCCTTCCCCTCCTCCTCCTCCTCCTCCGATTCTTCCTCCTTCTCCGTCCTCCTCCTCCTCCTCCTCCTCCTCCTCCTCCTCCTCCTCCTCCTCCGACGACGACGACGACGACGACGACTCCTCTTCCATCCTCCCCCTCTCGGGGTCTGTGACAGCTTCCCCCGCCCTTTGTTATTCTGCATGCTCCCCGACTTCCCTGATCACCTCAACTCCCCTGAGCATCGTTTCTGGATGGGCTGGTGGGGATACGCGAAGCGTCAACAATTCGGCCTTAACTTTTTTATTGTCCCACTATCATCTTACCCGCTTCTCGATCCTCCTCCTCCTCATTTTCCTTCCCCCTCATCTGTACTCATGTTCTCTTCTTTCCTCCTCATGTTTCTCTTTTCCGAATTCACATTGTATCATGGTCTAATTGTTCCAAGTCTTTACCTGCATGTGTGCCACATCATCTGCGCATATTTGCGGTGTTTTGTGTGCATACGTGCTACAAATCCGCACAACATTGCGGTGCTCGTGATTTGTCATGTTTGCGTTGGTAGCATGGGCCTGCGATGTTTCCCACGCAGCTGCACCCTCGCTATGACAGAGTGCTTCATTTGCCGCCCAATCTGGCGGTGTCGGTGTATCTCCCGCAAAAACAATTGCGCTTGCGCGCGAATCCGCCGCCGCGCTTGGAGGTCCTCTGGGGGGACAAACGGAGGGGGCCGGGGTGGGTGCGGTGGGGCCTGTCTGGGCAATGGAAGACCTCGACCAGAATTCTGCCTATTGTGCCATCGTTTGCGTGGAAGGTGAAAAGAATACGGTCTTGGCCAACACGTGAACGCATTCGGGGTTCCATGCGTCGGGGCCACAACTGTTATTTCGTGAGATATGAACCTCATGGAAAGCGCAACCGACACTCAAACACACAAACCCAATCGCACACGCGCCAACGGCTGCAAACGCGGTGGCGGATTCAACGATTCTCACATCGTGGCGCGGTTCTTCCCATCGACATTTTTGCTTCAGCTGGAATTCAGCCTGGTTTGAGCTCAACTCGGCACCATGTATGTCGTCTTCTGGGGTAGACTATGCTTGCGCTAGGCTTGAGACACTTCCTGGAAGCCGTGCCGAAGAGAAAGAGCATGTAGCGCATCGGGCAACTCGTTGGGCAATTGGGAACAGTCCATGGCCCCAGTTCAACAAGGACTGCGACATCGTTCCCCACTGAGTGCTTGCTCAGAGTGGATCCTAGCGGATGTCTCCTCCTCCTCCTCCTCCTCAATCCTCCTCCTCCTCCTCCTCCTCCTCCTCCTCCTCCTCCTCAATCCTCCTCCTCCTCCTCCTCCTCCTCCCCCTCCCCCTCCTCCTCCTCCTCCTCCTCCGCCTCCTCCTCCTCCTCCTCCGCCTCCTCCTCCTAGAGGGGTGTGTGGATACCATGGCCAGTGGTAAGACCTGGTGTACGTCTGCCGCCGGCTTCGGTGGGCCGGGTGCCTGGCTCCTGGCTGCTCGGCTCCTGGTGTGTCGCAGATTTCGAAGGATCACTTTTCGGTTATTGGTTTTGATGTTCGCGCATTTCGCCGCCAGATGTAGCACTCATCAGAGTTGAATTGTTGGGGAAGTTCTCTGAGAGCTAAGATGGTTTCAGGTTCGAAGCCGGCAGCGCAAGGTAGCCCCAGAGCTCATTCCGGCGCTGGTCCAGACACCTCGCAGCGCTTTGTTTGAGGTCGCAGCGTGTTCCGGAAGCGTTTTCTTGCTCGTTCCCAATACGCGTGCCGCAAGCTTTCCCGCATTTCTTTCGTAGCGCGTCCAGACGCTCCTGTCTCGAGCTTGCAAGCTCCCCAGACAGCCTTTCAAGCGTTCTTGCAAGCGTCTTCTTGAAGCTTTTACTTGCTTGGACTGCCCGCTATCTGGGTTTTGGACACCACGATTTCATGTATCTCATTTACGTGCACGTTACGTCTACACGTTACACGTATGGGCGACATATCTCGATATCTCTCTCTCTCTATATATATATGTATGTATACACGTAGGTCGAACCATATTCGAAGGGTGCCTGGCGGGTTGGGATGGGCCTGCACCCTAGACGCCAAAGCGGCCCCAAGAGGGCCCCCAAGCGGCCGCAGACGGCTCCAGAAATCATCCACACGGCTCCACAGCGGCCCGAGGAGCCCCAGAAACCTTTTTCAGCTCCCAAGCAGCCCGCCAAACAGCCAAAGGCGGTTCCAGACATCATCCCCTTTGCCCGAGAAGCTTCCAAAACGCGCTCAGAGAGCGCAAGGGGGGCCCCCAAGAGGGCTCCACTGAGCAACAATCGCCACACTCCTCCCTGAAAACTGACATGCTCAGCAGATGCGCTTTCCTGCTTTTTGAAGCGTGCAAGACGGTTCCAGGAGCCTCCAAGATTGCCCCAAGAGGTCCCAAACATGGCTCCGGACGGCCCCAGAACGGCCCAAGAAATACCCAAGGCGGCCCAAGAGGACCCTAAGCGGGGTCCAACAGGGACCCAAGACAGCCCACGATGGCCCCAAGGCGGCCCAAGAGGCGCCCAAGTTGGCCCAAGACGGTCCCAAGACGGCTTAAGAGGTGCCCTACACTGCCCAAGACGGCCCCGAGAGGCCCCTACGATCCCCAAAAGAGCACCCGAGAGGGTCCGCAGCCATTTTGGCTCAAGCCATCTTGGCTTACGCTGGCACGTTTCGAGCAGAGCTGTTTCAGCTGCTACTATCCAGGCTCAGGTGGCCATGGCGGGCGGGACTGTGCTCGGAATGATCGATTTTCCCATCACCACTCTGATGCTCCGCAGTGTGCCTCGAAGGTGCACCCAGGAGCAGCTCCTGACTGAGATTCAGGACGCGGTGGGCAGCATGGCCGATTTCAATTTCTTATTTTTGCCTTGGGACTCGCGTCACAATTGCAACGCCGGCTTTGCGTTCCTGAACTTCTGTGACGCGGATGGGGCAAAACGGTGTCGCGAGGTCTTGAGCGAGTATCATTTCCGCATGACATCGCAGCAGTGCCGTGTGTTCCCAGCCCACATACAGGGGCTGGAAAGCAACCTGATCCACCTCGCGGAGTGCCGGCACGGCAAGGGCATGCCAGTCGTCATCTGGCAGGGGAAGAGGCTCAGGTTTCCGCAGTTCGCCGCCGCCCTCCACCAGTTCACCGACGCGCCGGTGGGGCACGGGCTGCCGAGCCAGCCCTGCGGCAGCGCGAGCCCGCTCTTCTGGTCCAACACGGCCCTGCCGCAGGAGCGCGCGCCGCGGCTCGAGGCCGTGACGACGCGCAGGCCGCCTGCGTCCACCGAGGGCACGACGGCGCCCGGGCCGGTTGCGCAGGCGCCGGCGCTGGGGAAGGGCTCCGCGGAGGAGAAGGTCGTGTCTGAAGCTGTCACTGGGCGTCCGAAGTACATGTCCAAAGGCAGCCTCCCGGAGAGGTGCGGCAGCAGCGGCAGTCGCGCCCCTGAGGGGGACGTCGGCATGCACGACGAGTTTGACCTCCTGCTGGCAGCGGTGGCACTCGCCAAGCGCGTCGCGGCTGCCAGGGGCGAGAGGCGCCCCGAGCTGCTTCACATGCCTCCGTCCAGTGCCCCACTGCTGGAGATGCGCCTCGCGTCGCAAGATCGCCGGGCCGCCCTTCGAGATCCACCTTCCTCTCCGCCGCTCGCCTTTGCCTCCTGGGACAGGCTGAAGCCACCCCCCGGCCTGGAGCTCCCGCCCAGCCTCCAGCTCGACGCCCCCCTGGAGCCTGCGGCGCGGCCGGCGGCGCCCGCGCGCCGGCCTGCGCCCGCGTGCCCGGCAGTGTGCGGCGCGCCGGTGGTCGCCCGCGCGTTTGCCGCCCCCCCCGCAGCAGCGCGCGAGTCTGCGGGCGGAGTGGTCGGAGGCGTGGCCAGCGAGGGTCGGGCGCGGCCGCCGACGGCGGCGGCGAGTGGGCCGAGAGTCCTCCGGCTGGGGAAGGACCTCCACTCGCGGGTGTTCGAGAAGTTCTTCGAGAGGTGCCAGCGACCCCTCGGCCGGAGCTTGACCGTGGCGTCCGTGCCCTCGCCTGCAGGCCGTTCGGCGTGAAGCACACCCTTTTTTTGCCCTGAGTTCCAGGCCATTTTGCCACCAACGCTGGTAAGGTCACTGCACATTTTCGCCTGAGATCCTATTCGCTCAGACGTTCTGCCCCGTGGAGCGTTTGACTCAATTTTCATTCTCAGTGCAATCCGTCGGCCCCGTGGAGGCGGCGGCACTTACGAAGCAAGCTTAGAGCCAGCGGCTGTTTAACTGTCCTTTTGAGGATTGTGCCAATTCAGACACTTTTTACAGAAACTTTGTAATATTGCTGGCAGTTGCCGTTTCAACAAGCAGTTTGTTGCAGTTTGCGTTCGGTTTCCCTTTGCGCGGTTTGCCGCGCCGTTCAATCTATGTGAAACCAGTGGCATTATTGCACGCTTCCTCGGTCACCAGCCAGCTCGAACACTGGAGCTGTGTCCGTCTGGCGTTGTCAGACATTGCGGTTGCTCGCAGCTCGGCAGCGGCAGGTGTGCGGGGAAATGCAGGCGTCGTTCTGCAGTGGCCTTGTCGTGGCATCTTTCTGTGCTGTGTGCCGCTAGGCGATGGCCGGGGGGATGTAGGGATGAATCAATCAGACATCATATACGCCATGAGAGGGGAATGATATCCAGCCACCAGCCGACATTGTGCTTGGTGGTCCGCTGTTCGGCAACCTCTAAGCGATAAGCGCCAGGGGGGAGGGGCGGCAGGGGGGGATGGCGGAAGGGAAGAAGAGGGGCGCAGGCTGTCAGCTGGAGGGCGCAGCGCTGCCCGATTGCCGCGTGCACGTCCGAGGGATTTTCTTGTGTAGCAGAGCTTGTAGAGTGCCGGGGGGCGTCGCCCGCCACTGCCAGGGCCTCAGCGTGTCGATATTTACACCGTCCAAAATGTATCTGGGGGCGTCCTCGCGATCGCCGGGACTTGCAGGTTCGAGGTAAGCAAGAATTCGCCTGGCCAATGTCGAGCACAACGCGTCCTAGGTCATGAGCACACTGCCGGTGGCGAAGCGCCCTAGGTCCTAGGTCCTAGGTCCTAGGTGATATCAATCAAACAGTGGCGAAGCGTCCTGGCGTGCTTATAGGCCTACCGTAGAATGCTTTAAGAATGCTCTTAAAACATTTCTGGCTGAGTCTGTCTTGCTTCAACACATCGGGCTTATGTTATAAGAACATTGTTTTTGTGTTGTTCAAACATTTTTTGGTTCCAGGCCTATAGAAATGCCGGGACTGTCGGTCCCTGCTCAAATCAAAAAAATGCACCCGAGGGGCTCACGAACGGCCCACTCAAGGTTTCAAAATTGCCTCCTATAGAGGGGGTCGGACGAGAGGCTAGAGGCCCCTCGCGGCCGCAAGACAACAGTTGTTGACGCGCTGGTCGTGCTGCATATCTGTTTCCCGGGCGACGACGACGACGCCTTGTCGTTCCGCAGGAGCGGTGGCGAGCAAGAGAGGCAAAGTTTTGCAACATGAGCAGCGACATCTTGATTCGGAGCGCTGCCCTGCTGCGGTCCTTACTTTGCCGCACCTCCGGCGCGGCCCGAGACGGCGATGCGTTCGCTCCGGCCCGCTCCCGCATCCACCGCGATCCCGGCAAGAATCGTCAAACGCTGCTCCAGCCTGGGTTCTGTAACATCTTGCTTTCGCGAATCTCGAACACCTCGGCCCCCACATCAGTTCATGAGGCGCTTCTAGTATATATATATATATATATACAGACATATGTTAGCCAGTGTGGACCCAGCACGGCAAATCATTGCACTGTGCAAATGCAAGTTGCGCAGTGCAAGCCATGCGGTGTAAGATATGTGGCGCAGTACAGGGTGCAAGCTGCAATGGGCGGCAAAGTGGAGAAACCTCGCCAGACCCACCCAACGCGCGAGGTGGCAACGAGGCGGCAATGGCCGGCAACGTGGCGAAACTTCGCCAGAGCTGCCCAGCGCACGAGGCGCCCACGAGGCGGCAACGGGTGGAAACGTGGCGAAACCTTGCCGGACCCACCCAGCGCACGAGGCGGCCACGAGGCGGAAACGTGGCGGCCACGAGGCGGCATCGAGGCAGCGGCAACGAGCCGCAGCGTGGGGAACCCTCGCCAGACCCACCCAGCGTACGAGGCGGCAACGAGGTGGCAACGGGCGGCGACGTGGCGAAGTCTCTCCAGACACGCCACCCGGCGCACAAGGCGACAAGGGGGCGGCAGCGCGGCGGCGGTAACGTGGCGAA